GATCAGGGGCTCCTTCAGGGCTGGACCCTGGTTCTCAGCTGGCCAGAGAGCGGCTAGCACCATTGGGTTCTGGTGAATTGTCCCTGACGCAGGCTGGTAATGACTTCCCGGAGCAGCAGACCGGGCAGGGGCTCCCAGGGCCTGAGGCGTCCTGCCCGCTGGACTCAGGGAGCCACTTCTTCCTGGTCCCCATCCCCGTGCCTTCCACGCATGGCTGGCCCGCACTACTTAAATTACTTTGTGACTGATTTTTTTTCCCTATGAAACAGACAGCTTCTTGTAGTTGGCATCTATTTGTTGGACGTGAATCGTTACCTTGAAAACATTTCATTTAAGGGGCGCCTGTTGGGCTCAGGCGGTCAAGCGTCCAACTCCTGATTTTGGCTCAGGTCATGATCTCACGGTCTGTGAGTTCAAACCCTGAGTCAGGCTCTGCGCTGACATCGCGGGACCAGCTTGGGATTCTCTGCCTTCCTCTCGCTCTGTCCCTCTCCGGCTCACTCGTGCTCTCTCGCTCCCTCCCTCACAATAAACAAACAAGAGAACAGCCCGCTGGGACACGGTGGGTGCACCACCACGAGTCGCGGGGTCCCGGTCGGACCGAGTGGAGCAGTCCGTGGCTCCACCCCGAGGTTAAGGCTGCACTTCAGTGGCACGTCCTTCCCCGTCCCAGTACTCGCCCTGGAACCAAATGCAGCCCTAGACACCTGTTACTTATCACAACTTCCTATGGCTTCTGTTGGCCACTATTCCGAGCACTTACCTTCTCGTAAGATGGCTGCCTAGAAGGTCAAGTTCTCCCTGAAGATGGAGCAACGGGGCGCTCAGTCTTGAATCTTCAAAGAGAATAATCAGGAAAAAAAGATGGAATCTAACTTCTGAAATGAAGCTAGCAGTTGTCTGCTGTCTGCGAGCCTTCCTGATGCGAAATCCGTGCCGCCCGGGCGTGAGTGGTGGCCCTGTGGTCCCTGTGGCCGTGGCCTAGGTGTCCCAAGGGCTGTTATGACACCATGGCTGCCTGGGAGCTGCCTCAAATACTGTTGCTGGGAAATTACCAAAACCAAAATGTTGTGATTATTTTTTTAATGGGGATGAGAAAGACATTTTATTGAGAAAGAGCTCATGACTGTTGATAGTTGGGGAGGCTGACTATTGAACAGATGGTTCCAGAAAGCCCTGCCTGAACTGCTGAGTGGTGGCTGTCAATGGTACCCCTCCCCGCTCTGAGGCACTGGGAGCCCGGAAGGTGTGCCCTGCCAGGGGCCCTTCAGTGGGGAGGTGCCAATGAGGCTGGGCACCTGTGTCCCCGGGTCCTGCCTGTGAAGCCCAGCCGACTTGGCGAATATTGGCTTGTTCTAGTAGGTGGACTTGAGAAGAACAGCACAAAGCCAGCTGGGCAGGGCCCCTGCTTAACGACCAGGCACACCTTCGCCTCTGCTCACGGAACCCACCGACATCAGCACAGAAGCTCGCGTGGATTTTGACCCTTTCATGAGCTGACATCAAGACATTTCCCCAGAGCTCCGCCTGTGAAACAAAACAGACGCTTGACGTTTCCAGAGGCCGTGTGAGTGGTCTTGGTTCGGGAGGATTTCTTAATGACGTGTCATGAAGAGAAGGGCAGAGAATGGATCAGCCCAGTTGGAACAGCTTAAGATGGCGGAGACAGAAGACTTAACGAGCTGGTGTGAAAAGCCTGAGAGCGGCCAAGACATCTTTGCAGCCCCAGTGTGGATAAACCAATTATAATTTATTAGGGCTGCAGGGCTGGGAGAGCACATGGAGGAAATGGGGGGAGACAGCAGAGAGGCAGCCCGGACGCTCCACATGCAAACCCATCACAGCCATGGGGCTGAAAGTGGAATTTTCATAAGGAGGAGGCTGAGCTGATGTGGCTTAACATGAAATAAAAAGCATGAATCTCGGTGACACTGAAAAATGAAAACACTCCCACAGCTGATACAGAACAGTTCCTGCAAACCCAACCATTTTTTCTTAGGTGACTCAAACTTTGCGTTACAGTTGTTCGTAATTTTCTTAGCAACACAGTAGAAGATGAAGAGGAGAAACACTGGCTATAAAATAGTTCGGGTCTTCTCCACACAAAGGTACATACCACTGGGTGGTACGAGCCGGCTGCAGGCACCAGCCCCGGGGTGGGGGCCCTTACTCGTCCAGTCAGCCTAAGCCTAATCTGTCCTGACAACCTTCACAAGAGTGTTTGGGTCATGGCTCCTCTGAGAGCACGAGGACGAGTCCGGGTCATTCTGCTCAGGTGTGTTGATGGGCACAGCGCCCCAGACCTGGTTCGGCTTCTCGATGCCCATGGGCGTCCTGGAGCAAGGAGACTGTTTCCTTCCTTAGATGGTCTTGCACCCCCGTCCACAGAGTGAAACCTTAGAGACTGAAACTATGTTCACAGAGGCTTTGCAGTGTAAGCAGAAGGCTTGTTTTAGCCACTGAATTTTTAAAATGCCGAATTTAAAAGTTGCATATAGGGGCACCTGGGTGGCTCAATGGTTCAGCGTCCGACTTCAGCTCAGGTCATGATCTCACAGTTTGTGGGTTCAAGACCCGCATCAGGCTCTGTGCTGACAGCTCAGAATGCAGAGCTGTTTCGGATTCTGTCTCCCTCTCTCTCTGCCCCTCCCTCCCTCACAATCTCTGTGTCTCTCTCAAAAATAAACATCAAAAATGATTTTTAAGTTGCATATATTGCCAACTCTTACCTATGCTTTAAAAATTGGGGGCACCTGGGTGGCCCAGTCAGTTAAGCATCTGACTTCACCTCAGGTGGATCTCACGGTCCACAGGGTCGAGCCCTGAGTCAGGCTGTGTGTGGACAGCATGGAGCCTGGAACCTGCTTGCAGTTCTCTCTCCCTCTCTCTCTCTGCCCCTCCCCTGTTTTTGGTCTCTCTCTAAGTAAATAAATAAACCAAAAAATAAATAAATAGAATGTTTTAAACGTACGCCATGCTGAGAGAGATGGAGTAACCCTGAAGAGGTGAGGGTGAGGGGTAATCCCGGGGACCCCTGCACAGCCTCCATCCTCCACTCTGTGTGTCTGCGTCAGCTGGGTCCCCGCGCCGGGGACTCACAGAACCTCTCGTGTTGGCACCGGGCGTTTCTGAAGGGCGTCCTGCGAGCCCTGTGCCACGCGTTCCCGGCTGCTGCCTGAGCTGAGTGTGCTGTCGGGGTGCGGTCTGTGTGGGAGGGGCTCACAGCTCCAGGGCACAAGCAGCCACTGCCGAGTTAGAGTGACTGCGCATTTCCGAGTTTTGCTCGAACGCCCCGGATGGGAAGACAAATAGGAGTGCGAGTCATTGCGTGGTCTCGGGGTTCAAAGGGCTGCCTCTCGCTGCTCCCACTCTGTCTCTGGGCCGCACCTCCCCTACCGCCCCTCCTGCTTCGGATGACCCCCCCCCACCCAGAGCGCGCACCTGCGGCCCTCCTGCCGATGAGCTGATGCAAAGCCAGTGGGCGGCCTCGCAGACATGTGCGGGCTTATCCAAGACCCAGCAGCGGCGCCCCTGCTGAGCCTGGACGCGCTCCATCCCACTTCTGTCACCCGCCGACATACACATCAACAAGGACCACTTCTGGAGTCAGAAAAGAAAAAAACAACTTGCTTTCACGGAGAACATTCTCGACAGCGTGTCAGAAATTAAAAGAAAGACGACCAGGCATTACGAGCCTCCACTGGAAATTATCACGTCTGAAATCCTCCCAGGAAAAGTACATACACAGGTAAATAGAACCTAAGGCCAATCAAGGCTTTGGATCCAGCTGCTAAGTTACAGGAAGTACAGAGGACAGAGCAACATGTGAAGGGAAACCACAGGGATGTAACGTGGCAACTCCTGCGATCAGAAACTGCGCTGGAGACTCAGCAAGGTGAGCTGTGTCGTGTCTCAGACAGGGCAGTCGAGCAGACACACACACAAAGAAAGAGCCGACACTAAGAAAGAAGGATGACATCCCAGCCGATTGTGAAGTGCCGACTCTCTCTGGACTCTGGATTCCACCAAGGATGAATGGGGTAGGACGTGCATGACACAGTTGGCAACGAAACACTGAATATTTAATGATGGCAAGGGGCCATCGTTAGTGTTTGATGTGCCACGAAGGTATTAAGGTTACTTTTTAAAAACCAAAGAATCCTTGGAGCTCCTGGGTGGCTCAGTCGGTTGGGCGTCCGACTCTTGATTTTGGCTCAGGTCATCACGTCATGGTTTGTGAGTCCAAGCCCTGCATGGGGCTCTGTGCTGACGGTGCAGAGCCTGCTTGGGATTCTCTCTCCCCCCCACCCCCCGACTCCACTTGTGCGCGGGCTCTCTCTCTCTCTCTCAAAATAAATAAAGTTAAAAAAATTAAAAACAACAACACGGGGTGGTCAGCCATCTTGCAGAGATGATACTGAAAGACATTTGCATCTGGGGTTTTTGTCAACGGGCTTCACGGTTTGCAGGTGTAAACTGATGATCATTTTAGGCTGGTGGATGGGGACACAGAGGCCTTTCCTTTTGCACCTGTGTGAAATGTCCCACCTAAAGGCCAGCTAGCGGGGAGAACAGAGCCCCGTGCAGGTGAAGTGAAAGCAGGGGAGGCGAGAAACACGAGCAGGAGAGCTGACTGGGAAGGTAAAAAGCAGCAGGGACCGGAGAGGCTTGGAGGCGACTAGAAATAGGGCCGCGGGTGCCTGGGTGGCTCAGTCGGCTAAGCGTCCAACTTCGGCTCAGGTCATGATCACACAGTTCGTGGGTTCGAGCCCGGCATCAGGCTCTGTGTTGATAACTAGCTCAGAGCCTGGAGCTGCTTCGGATTCTGTGTCTCCCTCTCTCTCTCTACCCTCCCCTGCTAATGCTGCCTTTCTCTCTCTCTCAGAAATAAATAAAACATTAAAAAAAAAAAAGAAAAGAAAAGAAATAGGCAGCGGGTGGGGTTGGCTGCGTCCCCTGCGGAGGCGGCGCCCCTCACCGAGGTGTCTGTCCCTTCCCAGCTGGTCCGTGGGGACCTGGAACGCGTGCAGCCACACGTGCGGCGGGGGCACCCAGAGCCGCCTGGTGCAGTGCACACGCCGGGCACACTTCACGTCCGAGCGGGTGGCAGCCAGCCTGTGTCCCCAGCCCATGCCGTCCAGCCGGCAAGCCTGCCAGTCTCAGAGCTGCCCGCCCACTTGGAGCGCGGGGCCCTGGGCAGAGGTAACGGGGCAGGGCTGCTGTGGGGGGCGGCTGGGTCCCCTCCTGCAGACCGCAGAGCCGGGGTGGCGCTTGCGTGGGAGCGGTCAGGGGCGTTCGGACGGACGCCTCGCTGGGACTTGGCCCCCTTTCTTCCCGCAGTGCTCCCAAACCTGCGGGAAGGGGTGGAGGAAGAGGTCCGTGGCCTGTAAGAGCACCAGCCCCGCGGCCAGGCCCCAGCCGCTGCCGGACGCCGTCTGCAGCTCTGAGCCCAAGCCCAGGACGCACGAGGTCTGCCTGCTTAAGCGCTGCTACAAGCACAAGAAACTGCAGTGGCTGGTGTCTTCCTGGTCCCAGGTGGGTGCCCCTGCAGCCGGGCCACTGGGAACCCGGTCCACCAGCCGTCCCTCCCGGCTCTCACTGCTTCCCGCTCCTCTTCCCCCAGGCTGGGTGCTCCGCTCAGGCCACCCTCCTGGGCTCCAGGCTCCCCTCCGCAGCACCCTGGGGGGTTTCCAATCGCGTCCTTCAAGCTGCTCACCCAGCGGCACCCACGACCCCACTGCTCACCCCATCTTGAGGCCGGGACGAGTTGGGGCGCTCGTCAGGCGACGGGGTCCCGGGGGCCCCCTGAACGCCGGTGCCGCGTAGCCATTCCTGGGCCGTGTCCCTGTCGTGCGGAGCGGGAAGGAGGCCGGCCGCCTTGGGGAGACGAGCACCATTTCCTGAGCCCAGCTCCCAGGGGCGGTGCTGCAGGTGGGGGGGAAGCCGCTGTGCTGGGTCTGCAGGGGCTGGTGGCCCGTGTGCTGAATGCTAACGGGTGGAAGCAGGAGCGTTGAAGAAGGCGCCACCCCACATGGGGGCGCCGGCACAGCCTCCCACCCTGGGGTGCCCCCATGCCGCGGGCACGCAGGGGCTCCGTGAGCTCCGCGGTAGCTCCGGAGTCACCCTGTGCATCAACCCGGACGTGTAGGTGTCGCTAGGGGCCTAAAGGACCCCAGAAAGAGAGCGCCCCGGGGAACGGCAGCATCGCCCCCACGCGGGGCACTGAGAGGCGGCAATCCCAGGGCAGCTCCCGGCTCCAGCCTCCCGGCCGGCCTGGCTCAGCCCCACCCACCCCGCGAGTGACCTTGTTCGGGAGGGCAGAGGCGGGGCCCATCAGGCTCTGAATCTCACTGAGGCAGTGTTTCTGCCCGCCGCCCGGCCGGGAGGCCCCCTGCAATTAGCCAGCCGGGGACTCGGGCTGCGTCAACCGGGACTGAGCGCGTGTTCTGCGCATGTGCCCGAAGGCCCCGCCCACCGGAAGGAAACCGCCGGGTGGGAAGTCTCCGCCCCGGATGTTTCACGCATGCGCATAGGGCGCGGGCTCCCCGTAGTGCGGGAAACACACACGGACGCGCACCTGAGCCTGCGCGTGGGTGAGGCCGGAACCGGGGCCCCTGGGCCGAGGCCATCCGCACCCTCTGAGCTCGGATGGAGTGCCCCGTCGGGCGCCGTCCCCGTCACTGGCTCCAGGCCGCAACACCTAGGCGGGGGCCTGTCTCCAGAGACCCAGGGAGCCCAGGTCGCTGGTCGGCCCGGCCCGACTGCAGCCCCGGCCGCTGCGCGCTGTGCGCCCCGGGCCCTCTGCCCGCACCGGGGCGCGGTGACCCCGGCGAGGACCGGGCTCGGAGCACCCCTGGCCGGGGGAGAACGTGAGCCCGGGCGTCCCCCGCCTGCCCCTGCCTCGGGCCTGCACTGTGCAAATTCCCGCGCGTTCCAGCCTCAGATGCGGCCCAGCGAGTTCACTCCTCGGTGAAGCGACAGCTTCGGAGTCCCTCCCTTCGTGGATTGTGCCTGCCCTGCCCCTCCTGAGGCCCCAAGGTCCATGCCTAAAGGTCCTCCGTTTTCCGTGGTCTATACCGTAACGCCTTTTTAACATGCCCAGGTCCACTCCCGTTCATTCTTTGCACTTACGTCAGTGCTCAAGCGGATAATCCGGAGACGGCTTGAGTCGCCGAGTTAGGGAAGGGCCACCAGCGAAGAAATCGTGTTCACTCACGTCTCTTGCTTTATTCTTAGTGCTCCGTCACCTGTGAAAGAGGAACCCAGAAAAGATTCTTGAAATGTGCCGAGAAGCACGTTTCCGGGAAGTACCGCGAGCTGGCCTCGAAGAAGTGCCTGCACTTGCCGCGGCCGCGCGCCGAGCTGGAGCGCGCCTGCGCGCTGCCTCCGTGCCCCAGGCGCCCCCTGCTGGCCGCCGCCGGCGCGCCGCGGCCCGGCTGGTCGGCCTCGCCCTGGTCTCCGGTAGGTGACGCTCGAGCCCGCCTGCTCTGGGGGGCGGGGTGCAGGCCGAGGTGGGCGCGTTCCCGCAGAGGGCGCACCCCGGAGCCCGCAGGGCCGGTTCCGACCCTTCTCTCCCGAGTTCCGAGGCTGGGCTCCGAATGTGACCGACCCTTTTAGGGCACGTGGGCTTTGTTCGAAGTTGTCACCCAGTTAAGTGTTTTCCTTTTATGCAGAAGCTGGGCAGACGTCCCCAGAGATGAGGGTGAACGGGGAAGGAACCCCCAGGCTGTGCCTGTGGGAAGGGGGTCGAGCGCGCTGCCCTGTCCAGGCCTGGACCCTCAGACGAGGCCAGCCGAGGCCGACGGAGCTCCGGGGGCCGGCACCCCCTCCCCCTTCCTTCCCCCCGCCTTGACTTTAGGGAAGAATTCCGCCGAAACCGCAGCACCCCTCCCTCCCCGCCCTGGCAGCCCGCACCCTGGGGCTCGGCTCCCCTCTCTGCGTGTGGTTCTGCTCTCCAGCCTTTGTCTCTGGTCCCCGCGGGTCCCAGGTCCCCTCCCACTCCTGCTGGTGTTGCTGCTCTGGCTCAGGGTGCACCCAGGCCCTGCCCTGGGGGGTGAGGCAGGCCTGAGCCATTCCCGCTGGCCGCACCCCACGAGTCTGCCTTCTGCTGGAGGGAGGGGCGCCCGCTCAGTCCTGCGTCCCCATGAGCAGGTGCAGGGAGTGTTTTCTGACTCTCTCGCCTGTTGGCCTGGCCACAGGAGCGAGCTCTCTCTGATTTGCACATGGCGGCCCGTCCTGGACTCTCTCCTCTTTCTGAAGAGAAGAAGGTGGAGGAGACAGAGGGAAGGAGGGTGAGGCGTGTGGCGGCCACCAGCCTCTGTGCCCCCCGTGCCTAACCCTTGACTCGTGTTCCAGCTCCTGGTTCTGTGCGTCTTCAACCCCAATGTAGCTCTTGTGGTTAGAAACCTAGGCAGCCCTCTCCTAAAAGCATTTAAAGGAAAAATTATTTAGTTCAAATTATCGGAGCAGCGGACATTGGAACTTCTCAAGCATTTTCTACTTTAAATGGACAAAAGTATCAATACCTACAGCATTTTCCCAGGCAGCTCCCGTTGATTTTCTTGTGAGCGTGTGGTTTTTCCAGTGGGAAAAGTCGAGGGACAAGCGAGCAAGATGAGAGAACTTGTTTCTGGGGCAGAGGCCGCACCATCTCTGTCCCTTGGAAGGGGCGGGTCAGAGACACACAGACGTGGTCGCCGAGACCACTGTCCTTCTGTCGGCAAGGACCCCGAGGCTCCTTCCCGTGGCTGAAGGGGCTCCTAACCTCCAGCCACGCCTCCGTTTCACCCCGCTGTGCTCAATTTGGAGAGCTCGGGAAAATTCAGAAAACTAAGATTCCTCAACATTTCATTTACCCCAAACCCTAAAGCCGAAAATACATCTTGCTTAGTTTTTTGCAGTCTGAACTGTTCGTGTGTTTGTCTAATAAGTCATTTTTATCATAAGCTGCCTGAAGTTGTTACACAGGGTGATTCACCGGTTATGTTCCAAGAATGTCCTTTTTTGGGAGACTGTGCCCTCACCCTGTGGGAAATCGCCGGGCCGTAATGGGGGCCCGGCGCCTGGCTGACCTCGCCCCCAGTGGGGTTCATTCCTGTGACCCTCGAAAGCTCGCAGTTTCTATCATGTGGTCCTCAGGGTTCCTGTGGACTGACAAGCCTTTGCTCACCGTCACGTTTCATGGCAGGTCGCCTCATAGGACTGACTCTAGTCATTTTGGTCATTTGGGCTTTAGTGTCAGGCACTTCCCACGCTCATTTGGTCTGGGAATGGCTCACATGGGGACACCTGTTGGACTGTCTGATGCTGCACAACAGAGACAGGAGTGTGTCCTCAGTGCTGGAGTGTGGGGGCCCTGACCGTTCCCAGCGTGCACAATTGACCTGGAAACCCGCTGGTTCTGAGGGACAGGGGGGCCGTGTCAGTGATGGGCAATGGTTTTCTATCATGTCAGGTCTGAGGGCAGGCGTATTAAAGTAGTACTGGGGCACCTGGGGGCTCAGTCAGTTAAGCATCCCGCTTCAGCTCAGGTCATGATCTGGCAGTTCGTGGGTTCGAGCCCCACATTGGGCTCTGTGCTGGCAGCTCAGAGCCTGGAGCCTGTTTTGGATTCTTTCTCTGCCCCTCCCCTGCGCGCACTCGTGCACTCTGTCTCTCTCTCTCAAAAATAAACCTTAAAATTTTTTTTAATTAAAAAAACAGTACGAAACACATACATGGATGTGCACATGTACACAAGCAATAGGCATGCATCCACCACACAGGCACGCGCACACACGGGCACACACACACGGGTACGCACATGCACAGGCATGCACACACGGGTACGCACACGCACAGGCACGCACACACAGCTGCGCACAGGCACAGGCACACACACGGGTACGCGCACACAGGCATGCACACACGGGTATGGACACACACAGGCACGCACACACACACGGGTACGCGCACGCACCGGCATGTACACACAGGCACACAGAATGCACAGGCTCCTTGCGCCCTGACATCCAGCCGCCTGCCCACATCTAAGAATTTGCTGCTGATCTGCTCTCCATCTCCCAGTTCTGGGGGCGGGTGTGCAGGGAAGCAGGAACTTTCTTGCTGACTTTGCTGGATAAGGTCACAGCACATGCCACCTGAGTTGGAGGGAGCCTGCATTTGTAAGCCACCAAATGTACAGAAACTCCCTGCTCCGTTTGTGATCAGAGCAGAGGTTGTGGTGACGAGGCCGCTGAGGTCTGTGCTATCTGATCTTGACCCGGGCAGAGCCGCTCTCTGGGACAGCTGGGGGCGCGGGCGGGCAGAGAGCGCGCACGGCCACGGGAGAGAGGGAGACACGGGAGCAGCCACTCCCAGGACAGTGTCAGATGGAAGAGGAAGGTGTGAGATCTCGGGCATTAAGGTGGGTTTGTTCGCTTGCCGTTCTGGAGTTTGGACCTGAGCCTGGCCCAGCGGATGCCCAGCGGGATGCCCTATGGGGTTCCAGGTTCTGCTGAACTTGGGAGCGGAATTTGCCTTTGAATAAAGCCACCAGAGATCCACTGGGAGCTAAGATTGCTGGCATCACCAGCCTTTTTCCCTCAAGGCCACTGACACAGAGTAATCCTTGTAATTTAAAACACCCAGAGGCAGACGTTGTTTTGAATGCATCTCTCTGGAATTTCTGACAATGGCCAGGAGTGAAGGTCACTCTGCCCCCTCATCTCTGAGAGCTTGTGCAGTGTGTCTGGTGCAGGATGTCCCCTGAACACTCAGGGATTGTTACCGAAACACAAGAAATCCAGAAGAGAGGCTTTCCAGGATTCCAGCATTCTAGAAAACATGTGCTTAGCAGGTCGCTGCAGTCAGATCCCCTGGAAGCCGGAGCCTGACCCACGGGAAGAGGCCGTCACATTTGGGAACAATCTGAAGGGACAAGAAGACCCTGCTTGCTGACCTCAAGGTGGAGGGACCATTCCCCTGGACCCTGTATTGACCTTCCCACAGCTGAGTCCCCTAGTCTAGTCAGGCGGTCTTGGAAAGAGCTTATTAGACTGTCCTGTGAGTGGCCGCAGGCCCCTTGTAGGGGGGAGGCAGGTGTACGGAGCTGAGGGACAGGGTCCAAGGACCGGGAAGAGCCCAGGGGCTGTGGGGTGAGCAGCCCAGGGACGCCCCGCAGAAGGGATGTTCCTGCTTCCCATTCTGCGCCTCCCCTCCGCACTGGGGGCAGAGCTGCCTCAGTGTCCCCTCAGCAGACACAGAATGGCCCACCTGCAGGCCGCCCGCCCCTGGGGAGTTCCGGCATCAGTAGGAGGCACAGACCCTGAAGAAACACCTTGCAGAGCCCCGGCTGCTTCCTCACAAGGGCTCTCAGCCCAGCCAAGGCTTCTCTGGCGTCGGGGCACCGGGTCTGCCCCGGGTCAGCAGCAGGGACCCCAGAGGGCGGGCAGAAGTAAGCCGTGGGGGCTGGGCTGGGCAGGGATTAGTCCGAGCGGCTGGAGGGCGACAGTGACTGCGGAGGCCCCTTTATGAGACCGCTGCTCCCGGGTCGCGTCGTGCTGTACACGGGCTCTGTGCACGCTCTTGTCAGACTTCGGCGTGACTGCAGTCGGCTCCAGGATGAAAAGACGAGAAAAGGGCCTTTGCCAACACGGTCCTGATCACCTACAGCGGTGGCTCTCCGGACGTGACGCGGCCTGTAGCTGCCGCACTGTGGTTAGAAAGGCAGGTTCCGGGGCTCCTGGGGGCTCCGTCGGGTAAGCGTCTGACTTTGGCTCAGGTCATGATCTCCCGGTTCCTGGGTTCGACACGTGGGGCTCTGTGCTGACAGCTCAGAGCCTGGAGCTGCTTCAGATTCTGTGTCTCCCTCTCTCTCTGATCCTCCCCTGCTCATGCTGTCTGTCTCTCTCTCAAAAAAAATAAAGTTTTTTTTAAAGTTTAAAAAAAAGAGAGAGAAACACAGGTTCTCATTCCTCCCGGGCTGTTGACACGTGAGATTTGGGGGGCCAGCAGGTGATGCACATGCACACTGGAGTTGGAGAACCACAGCTGGGGGCTGGACACATGTAGGTCAGCAGACAAGTGCAGGCCATCGTCACTATGCAGCACTGTGGCCTCTGGCGTCCTGCCACCTGTGGGGAAAATTGCCTAAAATGTTCAGGTTAAACCTCACGAAGTTAAGGAAGATGCCATCGGCTTGGACTTAGCCATCCAGGTTCCAGAGTCTGTCTCCACAGAGGGTGAAGACCCACAGCTGAGTAGGGGTGTGGATCCCGCGGAGGGGCAGCTCGCTTGTGTCCACCACTGGGTCCCTGGCGCCTAGATCAGAGCCGGCACCCGGGAACTCAGGGACCCCTGTTTGTGAATACAGGAGTCAGTGACGGAAAGCGTCCAATTCCTTCCTAATGATTTGGGCACTGCTCATGTGACAGTGGATGGCCACATCTCTAGCTTCTCACTGAGACGCGTCATTCGCAGGACTGGGCCCTGCGCGGTGGCCGCCGATGACAGGCGCTCCGCTCTCGGCAGAGATGTGGTGGGCACCTACAGATGCTGACACGTGTGGCCAGCGAGAACCCTGCAGCGCAGCCGGCGGGGGGGGGGGGGGGGGCGGGGGGGGGGCACCGAGGCCAGAGCGCGAAGCACAAAGCCCAGACGCGTGGCTGTGCTGGACGCTCGGACAGATGTCACAGGCAGCCGGGAACATCTGTCTCCGTCGTGGATGCGCCTGACAATTCAGAAGCCAGACACGAATCTGCCCACGACGTTTTCTCCTGGTTGCTGTAGTCCTGTTGATTCAGAGCTGTTGACGACTGTGGCTGACGTTAGTTTTGAAGAGACCGGGGGTGAGCCTCACAGAACCATCCCAGCCCCACGTGCTTATCAGCGGCAGCCTCGACCTTCCCCTCCGGGCACGTGGCCAGCCTTCCCTAAAGAGGAGAGGAGAAAGAAGGGGCCCTTCAGCTTCAGACGTTTCAGGGCTTGGATCCCCAAAGATGTTAACTTGAGCCATCAGAGTGCCAAGCCCCCGGGGATCTGGCAAAGCCACCTGGACAGAGGCTGTGCTCACAGCAGGTCCCCGGAAAGAAGCAGGGGCAGGGACCACTGAAAACCAGCCCCGGGGCTCCCTGACTTAACTTGCCTGAACGGGTTCCGGGGTGCAGGCTTGTGCGTTTTGGCCGGCAGCCCGTGTCACGTGTGTCCCAGTTCTGCACACATCCATCCTCGCATTCCACAGCCACCGTCTGGCTTACCCACTGCGCACCGGACACCCACAGGGCCATCCGACCCCATCTTGCAGGGACGCCCCTTCGTTGCCTACGTCCTGGACAGTTTTGAACCACGAGTCTTGTCTGAGCCCAATTTACACAATTCAGTCTAGACACCCAGTGGCTCCCTGTTTGGACAGACGAGCTGCTGCTGGGGGTGGCTGCTCTGTCTTCCCGGCCGCCCAGCCCCTGATTTCTTGTGCACAGGTGAGCTCAGACATACCCGCCCGCATGGTCTGTGTGGTGCGCGCCCGGCCAGCTGGTGAAGGGTGATCCCAGCGTGCGGCTCCTCCGTGCCCCGGCTCTGCTGTGCTACTTGCCTTAGGGTGACAAGGACTGCGTGTCTCAGAACAGTGCCCTCAGGAGGGTGCCGTGAGCCCAGGCTCCTGGTCCGCCGCCTCCAAGCAGGCATCCAGAGTTCAGGGGCGTTGGCTTCTCACGTTTGTTGCAGCCAAGAGCCCCAGAAAGGGTGCCTTGGTGATGGCAGGCCGTGCAGGGCACTAGTTTCTGGAGCCTAACTCACCGCCTGTGTAGGCCTGGGGACCATCCTGTACCCCTGATATGCACCGGTTCCCTTGTGTTCTAAGACCATGGTCAGTGTCAGGCCATTTTAGAGCTCCAGATGCTTGTCCTCTGTGTCCGCACTGGTCAGCCCCCACAGCCCCCGGGGGCCTGGGTGCAGGGGGGAGCCTGGAAGAGGGTGGCCCCGCCCCGGCAGCCCAGTGACTGCTGTGCACATGTTTCCCGCAGTGCACGGCCAGCTGTGGGGGCGGCGTGCAGACCAGGACAGTGCGGTGCCTGGCGGGCGGCCGGCCGGCCCCAGGCTGCTTCGTGCACCAGAAGCCCGCGGCCTCCCTGGCCTGCAACACCCACTTCTGCCCCGTCGTGGAGAAGAAAGGTGAGTGTCCGGAGCCCCTCGGCTCAGCCTTGGTGTTGGCACTGTCAGCTTTCCGAGGCGGTTTCCTTTTTTATGTTTTATTTTATACTTGAGAGACAGATAGAGAGTGAGCAGGGGAGATGCAGAGATAGAGACAGAATCCAAAGCAGGCTCCGGGCTCCGAGCTGTCAGCAGAGCCTGAGGGGGGCTTGAACCCACGAGCAGTGAGATCGTGACCTGAAAGTTGGACACTCAACTGTCAGAGCCCCCCAGGCACCCCTGCAGTGGTTTCTAGTGGGCCTGAGGAGTGGGGTACCCTTTCTACCCCGCCTCCCGTTTGCCCCCAAACGGCTCAGGGTGAGTGTCCCCTGCAGGGCTGTCCCTGCAGCTTCAGGGCCTGTGGGACGCCCCTCCCCCACCCCGGGACACCAGCTAACAGGCATCCGCTGCTTTTCAGATGGCGCCTGCAGAGACCACTTCCCCTGGTGCCCCCTGGCGCCGCGGCAGGGGGTGTGTGGCCACTGGTTCCACGGCCAGGGGTGCTGCAAGTCCTGCTCCGCCTCCAACCTGTGAGGCCCGGGGACGGGGGGCCTCCCCGGGCGGGAGAACGGAGGTGCCGCGTCCTCAGCTGGCGAGCGCTGTGCGTCGGAACGCGGCCAGAGGAGGCCAAAGCTGGGAGAAGAACTGTGTTCGGCCGTCTGTCGGGCAGAGCGCCTGTGTGCGTGTGCAAGTGTGTGCAGATCGTGGGTCTGAACGCGCGCCTGGCGCACGTGCACACGCGTGTCCAGCTAAGCATGGGGGCAGGCGGGAGGTCGGCACTGCAGACCCACCGTGACCCCCGCTCCGCCCTGTGCTCCAGCCTAATCGAGTCAGAACGTCGGAGGGAGCTGAACTCGGTAAACGCGAAGTAAATGTGTGTGGTGCTTCGGAAAAAGAAGGAAAGGCCGTGAAATTAGGGATAAGTAAAGAAATTCTGCCACTAAGTACGCCGGCCTCCCTCCCGCCGCGGAGGCCCCTTCCCGTGGTCTGGAGAAGTGGCCGGTGTTGGGGACGGCTCCCGGGCGGCGTCCCCAGGGCCTCCTCGGCCTTCCCCAGCAGGGAGCTTCTCTTATCTGGGACCTGCCCTGGGACAGGAGCTGGGCCTCGCCTCTGAGGGGCGCCCCCCCCTGCCAGGGAGAGGCTGGGCTCCCCACTCTGCGCCCCCTTCACGCTGCCCTGGAAACAGGAGACATGAAACCGTGCTAAGGTGCTCCCATCCCTTTCAGACTCCTGAGCTGGAGGAGAGGACTTCCGTCGCCTCTGTTCTGTCCTTCCCCGGTATTTACAGGTGTTTCTGTTCAACCCCTTCCTTCCCGCGTTTCTCTTCTAAACAGAATAAATCACAGGTTCTACCCAAGTTACCGGGCCACCCGTCACGCAAACCCGGCCGACCCGATGAGGCTGTGGTCGGTCCTGCCCGGACAGACGTCAGCTGACATGCGAACCTCAGAACCCAGGTTCCGTTTCCGCCTGTCGTGCTGTTTTTCAATTTCTTTTCATCAATTGTGGCGGTTTTTCAAGAGCGGGGGAGGAAGAAGGCCAGCGTTTCTGGAAGAAGGTGCGCAGCAGGCCTCCGACACCAGGCTCTCTGCTGGTGCTGCCTTCCGTTCCCTCTTCCTTCGCTGCCGCCCCGTTCAGAATGGGCACTGAGATATTTATATTTGCTGAAGTTTTATAATAAATTTTATATTGTACCGCTTGCTTCTGACCTGCTTATGATTCGTCACAAGTTTGGCACCTGAGATCCCAGGGCGGGCGTGGAGGCAGGGAACTGGTCCAGGGACAGAGAGCCGGGGCCCTGCAATCCAATAGAAAGTGCTGGAGCTGGTCTGAAAGTGCCCCTCATTGAGGAGGCTGCAGGGAGGACACGGGAGGTGGCCCGTGTGGGGTGGGCGGTGCCACAGGCAATTCAAAGGTCACCCTTGACCCTGTGCTCTCTGCTTTGTTACGTAGCGTTCTCTGGGGGAAACGGAAACAACAGGTATTACATAGAAAGAGAAGAAAGCTTTATTTCAGGGGATTGGCTCCTGTGACTCTAGGGGCGCTGGCGAACCCAGATTCGGTAGGGCAGAGGGCTGGAAACCAGGCAGGGGTTCAGTGCTGCCATCTTGAGGCCCAATTCCTTCTTCTCAGGGAAAACTCAGTCTTTGTTCTTTATGGCCTTCAACTGATTGGGTGAGGCCCACTTACGTTCTGGAGGCTCATCAGCTTTCATCAGAGTCTAGCTATTTCAGCATTAAATTATAATCACGTGTGAAATATATGTTCACAGCAATACCAAATCTAGCGTTTGAGCAAACAAGTGGGAACCATAGCTTAGTCAAGTTGCTGGGTGAAATAAACCACCTGGGCCTGGGGTGGACCAGCCCTGATCAGCTGTCAGAGTGCACTTCCTGGCACGACTGGCCCCACTCACCCTCAGAACCTCCCCAGCTTGCAGACAGACCCAGCTGCCGAGCAAACCTACACCGTGTCAGCCAGCGAAATCGTCCTAATCCCATTTTACAGACAGAAAGTCGGGACTGCATACGTCGGGTTTGGGCAGGTGTCACAGCCACAGGAGGCAGAGCTGGGATGCTGCAGGCCTCGGGCAGCTTATTCGGACATGTCGGGAATCTCATCCATCCACCAAGGCTGTGGGGCCGCCCCGAACCTGTGTCCTTCAAACAGATTTCTAGCAATCCTTCACTACTGTCCTGTTCCCCTTCCCTGGACTCGCGCTGGCCGGGTTCTGTGCAGGGTGCAAAAATGGGCCGACGCAGTTTCACCTTTAAGGACTTCACGTTCCGTTGAGAAGTACCAAAGCGACATATCACAAGGGCAGGGACAGGCAGGGGAGGGGGAGCTCAGCTCCGGTTAGCAAGGGAAGAGGGAGGACCGACCAGAGAGGGGCAGCCTTCGGCCTGGGCACGTCCTGCCCCCGACCCTGGCCTTACGCATGCCCTGGAAGGGGGTAGCGTGCAGCCCAGCTTCACTGACCAGAACCTTCATCTGCAGCATGTGAGCAACAAAGTGGTGCAGGCGGCAGGCGCCTTGACATTGATTCAGCATCGCTCGTGCCAGGCACAGGGACGGGCGCTCTGTGTGTGAAACCCCACTTGGCCCCCCACCGAGGGAAGACGTGCTGACTTCCCCGTCACATACAGCCTGTCCCCCGGGAAGCCCTCCACCCCCCCCATGCCCACCCCAGTGGGCTAGGTCAACGCACCTCTGGCCCCCAGTTGCCTGGGAGACCTGGGAGCCTCCCAGAGGCAGGAGATGTGTACAAGGACTGGAGTCTTCTACTCCATGTCTGGAACCCTGCTCTACCCACCCCCACCCCAGGGCCCTGGAAGAATGTAGCCGATGGAGAATCTCTTTCCTTAGGAGTCATGGGTCCGTCAACTGACGAATGGATCAAGATGTGGTTTATCTACACGATGGAATACTCCATGGCAATGAGAAAGAATGAAATCTGGCCTGTGTAGCAACATGGATGGACCTTGAGGGTGTTATGCTGAGCGAAATAAGTCAGGCAGAGAAGGACAGATACCATATGTTTGCACGTATAGGAGGATTAGGAGGAACTTAGCGGAGGACCGTGGGGGAGAAGAAGGGGGAAATGGTGGGGAGAGGGAGGGAGGCAAACCATGAGAGACTCTTGAATGCTGAGAACAAACTGAGGGCTGATGGGGGTGGGGGTGAGGGGGGGTGATGGGCACGGAGGAGGGCACTTGTGGGGATGAGCACTGGGTGTTATATGGAAACCAACTTGACAATAAACTAAGAATAAAAAAGGAATGATGGGCATGGGCATGATATTTTTCTCAACCACCCGACTTCATTTCTCCTGAAAATGTTTGTTCCCAATATAATCTCGGTACTTGGAGCTGGAAGAGAGTTCTAGGTGCAGAGCCCACAGGTCCTGTGGGGGTGAAGTCAGAATCCGTACAGAGGGGAAGATTCCCACCCCCCCGCCCCACTGAGCCCTGGGAGGAAATGTCCGAATTCCAGGCATGAGTGGGTCCCCCGATGCCCACCGCTCCCTGCCGCCCTTTCTAGGGGCTGCACTGAGGGCTGCGTGAGGAGGAGCTGGTCCTGGGAATCCACAGCTGATGGGCCCCCTCACTCGGGGGTCTGGACCCCAGGGGTCTCGCTGACCCCGCGGCTGAGGACTCCCTGTGATCCCCTGGGCCGTGTCCTGGGGCGAGAGTGGAGAGTGACAGGATTGGGCTGACGGGAGTCACAGGGACCCGTGATAGTCTGAGAAACACTCCGGCCAGCTGGACGCTGCCATGCAACTGTGTCGTCTGCTCTGGGGACACCAGGCTGTCCTGTCCCAGTGGCCGTGGTGGCCTTCCTCATGCTTGCACCCCAGCTCACTGCAGAGGCCAGGAAGCAGCCACAGGCAAGCTTTTCTGCGCTGGGCTTGCCTCCCAGGAGCTCAGCCAGACGCTGAGCCACACCTGCGGCGACCACTGCACCACGTCCCGGGAGCCACGGGCCTGAGATGGACGCAGTCCCCGCAGTGCCAGGCAGAGCAAGGCTGTGGTGTCGGAGGAGGCCAGGCAGACAAGCCAGGTGCACGGCGGTCACCGGGCTGTGTCCCCTCCGCTCCCCAGCACTCCTGGAGACGGAGGCCCTCTAGCACCCGGCCCGGCAGCCCCGCAAGGAGAGTCTGCAGGGAGACTTCGCACGGTGAGGGGAGCCTCCCAGCACCCCGGAACTGTGTCTGCACCTTCCTGGGCCCCTCCCCGCCCCCTCCCCGAATAGTCTGCGAGTCGCTCACCTTTGCAGACGACAGTCTCTGTGGTCATGAGGCTGCACCTCCTCAGACCAGCACAGAGGCCTCCCCGAATCTGCTCTTCGCAGGAGGAGGAGGCCAGCCGGGCCCCCACCTGGCCCTGTCCACCAGCCCCCCTGTCCCTGGGGTCCCATGTGCTCCCTCCTGGTTTGCTGCCCGCGGCCTTCACCGATGTGGCTGTTGGGCTCGACCTTCCAGACCCAGAGCTTCTCGCCCCTTCCCTCGCATGCGAGAGTGGTGTGCCGTGGTCACTGGGTTCGCTGTGCCGTGGGCTGCGTCCCCAGGACTTACTTGTCTACCGGCTGCCCTTAAACAAGTCCCTTTTTCCCAGCCCCCAGGACCTAGCAACCACCGTTCTCTCGGAATAGATCTACCACACGACCCAGTCTTTCCACTTCTGAGTGTTTGCCCAAAGGAAATGGAAACAGGATCTCGGAAAGACATCTGCAGCCCCAGGTTCACTGCAGCATCCTCCCCGGTAGCTGGGAGGCGTGAGTGACCTGCGCGCACGGATGGACGGGCGAGCCGGCCATGATGAGGTGCACACACGCAGCACGGAGCTCCCTCAGCCGTGAGGAAGAAGGCAGTCCCGCTGTGTGGAACAGCGTGATGGGCTGGAGGGCTTCCGCCCCGTGCCGGGAGGCGGACAGAGAAAGACGCATGCCGTGCAGTCTCACAGGTGGAATCTAGAAAAACACAGGCTGCCGCTTTCGGGCTGGTGGTGACCAGGAGCGGTTTCCAACCCTAAGTCCGGGAGGGAGCGCGTGCCCAGCCGCTGAGCCCCTCTGGGCCGCAGGGCAGACTCGGGCTCCTCGACGGCCCTCTCCTTCTGTCCTGGCTTTTCAGACTTATCTCAGGAAGGAAGGCAGCTATCAGGTAGACATAAGAGAAAGCACCTCGTTCATCAACGTTTGCAAAATCCTTTATGAGAAAATATTGTGGCAAGAGACTGAGATTGGAGGCCAACTAGAAAGTAGCCCTGAAGTCAAATATCTTGAATTTCAGCAAATTATAGTTGAAACATGGAAAGTAATCAGTCTGTTTTCTACACGCATTTTTTATCCATAGAACTTAAATAGCATTCTTTTTTTTTTTAAGTTTATTTATTCATTTTGAGAAAGACAGTGAGAGCACGCAGGAGGGGCAGAGAGAGAGAGGGAGACAGAAAATCCTAAGCAGGCTCCACACTGTCAGCCCCAACATGGGGCTCAAACTCACGAGCTACGAGATCATGACCTGAGCTGATGCTAAGAGTCAGACACTTACTACACTGAGCCACCCAGGTGCTTCTTAAAGAGCATTCTTAGAGGCGGCACTTGGCAACCTGGGCGGCTCAATCGGTTGAGTGTCTGACTTCAGTTCAGGTCACGATCTCATGGTTCATGGGTCTGAGCCCCGCGTCAGGCGCTGTGCTGACAGCTCGGAGCCTGGAGCTGCTTCGGATTCTGTCTCCATCTCTCTCTGTCCCTCCCCCATTTGTGCTGTGTCTCCCTCACTCTCAAAAATGAATAAACACTGAAAATTTTTAAAATAAAAGAGGCTCTTATTCCCTCTGCTGGATCCCAAACTGAAGGTCACACACAGAATTCGCCGGCTCTTTCCCTTGCCTTTAAAAGGGCATTTTCCCAAAGACACGAGTAATTTGCACGTAGTGAAATCTGCCTCGTCAGGGGTGGGCTCCGCCAGTGCCAGACATTCAGATGCTTCAACACCGGTTCCGTTGTGTGTGGGCAGCCTGGGTGCCTGGCAGGCAGGAGGCAGCCATTCTAGAACACGGTCTTCCCTGAGCAGAAAGCCGGGTGGGCGCTGACACTCTCAGATGAGTGGTCCCGGAAGGCCTGCGCCCGACAAAGCTGGTGGAGCATCACCTGCTCCTTTCCTCTGTGGCTCTGTGATCACCCCCCACCCCCG